TAAAATCCCAAATTTGAGAGTTCGAAAATCCCAAATTTGAGACCTCTAAAATCCCAAATTTGAGAGTTCGAAAATCCCAAATTTGAGACCTCTAAAATCCCAAATTTGAGAGTTCGAAAATCCCAAATTTGAGACCTCTAAAATCCCAAATTTGAGAGTTCTAAAGTCCCAAATTTGAGAGCTCTAAAGTCCCAAATTTGAAAGTTCCTACGTCCCAAATTTAAGAGCTCTGAAGTCCCAAATTTGAGAGTTCTAAAGTCCCAAATTTGAGAGCTCTAAAGTCCCAAATTTGAAAGTTCTTACGTCCCAAATTTGAGAGCTCTGAGGTCCCAAATTTGAGAGTTCTAAAGTCCCAAATTTGAGAGCTCTAAAGTCTCAAATTTGAAAGTTCTTACGTCCCAAATTTGAGAGCTCTGAAGTCCCAAATTTGAGAGCTCTAAAGTCCCAAATTTGAAAGTTCTTACGTCCCAAATTTGAGAGCTCTAAAATCCCAAATTTGAGAGTTCTAAAGTCCCCAATTTGAGAGCTCTAAAATCCCAAATTTGAGAGTTCTAAAGTCCCAAATTTGAGAGCTCTAAAATCCCAAATTTGAGAGTTCTAAAGTCCCAAATTTGAGAGCTCTAAAATCCCAAATTTGAGACCTCTAAAATCCCAAACTTAAGAGCTCTAAAGTCCCAAACTTAAGAGCTTTAAAGTCCCAAATTTGAGAGTTCCTACACCCCCAAAGTCCCAAACTTAGAAATCCCAAAAAACCTCCCAAATTCCCAAGGTCCCAAATTTCCAACCTCCCCAAATCCCCCTCCCCTTCTCAAACTCCCAAATACCCAAAATCCCCAAAAAACTGAAAATCACCAAAATCTCAGCAATACGAATCGAAAGCCCTGATGGATTCATTTGAAATCAATAACAAAACAGGGTGGACAAAAAACGCACCCTTAACTCGCTTATCGCACGGCCGACCAAATCCATTCTAAAAAATCATCGGACATTCGTTAATCGCGTCTGATCGCGATTTTGTCGGGGAGTGTAGTTTCGTGCGTCTATTTATCCACCTAGCGGTATGATATTACACCCCGGGGCACACTTCGGCATTCCCCCACTGTCGTTCGTCGGGGTTGCAGTGGTGGTGGGCACCCCTGGCTGGGGCCACGCCCAATCGCAGCTCGCCGAACACCTCCTGTGCAGCAGCCAGTCCATTGGCTCTGGCTGACTTTGCGTCATAGCCACCCCGGCATGGCACTTGCACCGCGTGTTTCACGGATGAGGGTACGTGGCCGACTCGACTCCTCTGTCGGCTGATTGCGAGGGCATCGGCTCACCGACAGAGACGAAAGAACGCCGGAACGATCGAGGGAAACAGGCCTGGATACGTTGGACAGAGAAAACGAACGGATGAACGGAGACGAACGGCGATATCGAAGGAGGAGCGGGAACGTTTGCCGGCGAAGAGGGTGTTGAAATTTAGGAGGCTTCATTTGGACCATTCTTTTAACGGCGCAGTTATTACGCTTATACTGGAATTTCTTTCTGTTATTCTATTTTCAAAGGGCTTTCTTTCGCGAGATATGTCGCATGCACGGATATCTTCTCACCTTCGACGGATCTGGGTTAAGAGGCTGACCTCGAGCCGACGCTTTTTGTCGAAGAAACTGTTTCAACCTCTTCATGGATATTTACATATAGAGGGATGTTTAGTCTTTAAATTCTACTGGAGGTCACATATATTTTCTTCTTCGGGTGTTATAGGTTCTTTTAAGGTTTACTTATGTAATAAACAAAGTTTATGTAATAGACAGATTTAGTTAAATAATAAACAAGTTTATGTAATACAGTTTATATGTATAATAAACATTTATGTAATAAACTGTTATAGGAATGAGAAAAGTTGAATCATTTCTTGGTCTGATTTAGAGGATCCCTCAGGATAAATTTTTGAAGTAACAGAGGGTTGAAAATGGGTGCTAAAAGTGTTCATTGCAGTTTTTGTTTTATAAACTGTTGATGGTCGTTTTTGTGAAATTTTATAACATTGATGTGATAAATTATTTTGAAGCATCTTTGTCCTCCAAAAAATATGAGTTTTAGAGTAAATTAAAGATGGAGGATGGTTGAGTCAAATCTGTATTTTTTAATGTGAGTTTAAAGTGAAATGTAAGATGAAGGAAAATATAAATTACATAAGTTATAAGTTATGTGTTATAATTTCATGTTTTACTATTTAGGGTGAACCTGGGGATAATTTCAAAAATACCTGGGGTAAATATGGGAGTAATTGAAAGTTTTGAAATGAACCTAGAAAGAATATGAAATACTTAAGCTGAAATTACAGAAAATCAAAAAAAGGGTGAAACTAGAAAGAACCTTGAAAACCTAGGGTTAAGTTAGGGAAAATTTAGAGAACTTAAGGTAAAGCTAGGGAGGATTTAAGAAACTTAGAGTAAACCTAGGGAAAATCTGGAAAAAGCTAAGAGGAAATTGGGAAGAGTCTAAAAACATCTAGGGTGAACTTAGAGAAAATTTAAAAACCCTAAGATGAACCTAGGGGAAACCTAAAGAACTTAAGGTGAAACTAGAGAGAATCTAAGAAACCTAAAGTGAACCTAGGGAAAATCTAAAAACCCTAAGGTGAAATTGAGGAGAATTTAAAAACACCTAGGGTGGATCTAGTAAAAATCTGAAAATCTTGAAATGAACCTAGGGAAAACCTAAAGAACTTAAGGTGAAACTAGAGAGAATCTAAGAAATCTAGAGTGAACCTAGGGAAAATCTAAAAACCCTAAGGTGAAATTAGGGAGAGTCTAAAAAAGCCTAGGGTGAACTTAGGAACATCTAGGGTGAACTTAGAGAAAATTTAAAAACCCTAAAATGAACCTAGGGGAAACCTAAAGAACCTAAGGGGAAACTAGGGAGAATCTAAGAAATCTAGAGTGAACCTAGGGAAAATTTAAAAACCCTAAGGTGAAATTGAGAAGAATTTAAAAACACCTAGGATGAATCTAGTAAAAATCTGAAAACCCTAAAATAAACCTAGGGGGAACCTAAAGAACCTAAGGGGAAACTAGGGAGAATCTAAGAAACCTAAAGTGAACCTAGGGAAAATCTAAAAACCCTAAGGTGAAATTAGGAAGAATTTAAAAACACCTAGGATGAATCTAGTAAAAATCTGAAAACCCTAAATGAACCTAGAGAAAATCAACAAAACCTAGAATGAAATTAAGGAGATCTAAAAACCTCTAGAGTAACCCAAAATAAAATCTAAAATAATACAAAGAAAATTATAGAGTAAACCATAAATTACCAAAAGCATGACACTGGAATATAACCTCAACCGTGTAATAATTAGAATAAACTGTAATAATTAACAATATTAACATAAACCAGTTAACTAAGTAACCCACCAAAGGTTAAGAATCGTCTACCAAGATTACCACAAAACGACTCGTAGGACGACACGCGTACAAAATCAAAAGCCTACTCAGATGTTAGCCGCGGACGAGCATAACGAGCAGCCACTCTGCGACTTATCTCGCTAAAACACACGATTTTTCTTGCGGATAACAACGGGGGCTGTTGTTCCCGTGCTCGAGAGCAGTCAGCAGTGGCAGCCAGCTTTGATCAGCATGGTAATGCATCGGGCCGTATGAAAAAAGCACTGAAATTGCAACTGGTTTGAGACCGCTCAGACCAGAGGAGATTTAGGGTGAACAGTTGAGCGTTGAAAGGCCTAATCGTCCCGGCAGCCTCTTTGTACGCAAAGTTAATAACGTGTATTTATGTATTTGCCACGTTTAATTGCCTGTGCGGCTATTACATTCGCTCTGAAATGCTTGCTCCCGCCTTGAATACACGAGGGAGGGTAGTATTAAGTGCTTGCTCGAATGCTCCGCGAGTCTGGCAATGACACGAGACCTTGGTCTATAGTTATCGTACGACCACTTCTATTTGCAAAATCTCGATGTTCCGACGTTTTACTATGATCAAAGATTATCTTTACGTTCTGTAAATTTTTTTGAGAATTTAGCTCTAAGTAAAATCGTTTGTAATTTAAAAAAATTTTGAAAGAGGTATCCAAGCATTTAATAATATATATGCATTGAAATCTTGTGATATTTGTGGTTCAAAGATGTCTAGAAATATTTTCTTAGGTCCAGGAAAATGAATATTTAATTCTTTTACCTGTTAATTAAATTCCTGTAAGTCATTATTTATTTATGATTAGTTTTATAAGTTAACTAAATATTATAGCAATAATATTCATGATTTTGTCAAGATATCATTCGTATAAACACTTATTAACTTATCATGAAGTAATTAATTGAAAAAGTTGAATTTATTTGAAGTATTCACTGAAACAAGGTTTTTGAAATTTGAATTTTCGCGCGCTTTGTATGAGAAAAGGTACTGCTAGTGCTATCTACCGGAAAACGGTACAATTAGCGATTTTTTCGATACTCTGCGATGAATAATATGTTCTATAATTTCAAAATACTTCAAATAAACTCACTATAATTCGTTAGAGGCGTTAAAAACGAAAATAAAAAAATAGTGCAGTTTATGGACCAAAAAATTGCCGTCCATCTAGCGGTGAAAGTTGGAACTAACAAAATAGAAAATTGCGATTTTCTCGAAAACCAGCGACTTTTCCGAAATTCTGAGATATACAAATTGTTCCTGGCCGCCTAAGGAATCGAACGAATATAATTATAACGCTCTAGGACCATTAGGAAAGAAATTAGAAAAAAGGTCATTTTATGGACCAAAAAATTGCCGTCCATCTAGCGGTGAAAGTTGGAACTAACAAAATAGAAAATTGCGATTTTCTCGAAAACCAGCGACTTTTCCGAAATTCTGAGATATACAAATTGTTCCTGGCCGCCTAAGGAATCGAACGAATATAATTATAACCCTCTAGGACCATTAGGACAGAAATTAGAAAAAAGGTCATTTATGGACAAATTTTGTGGCGCCATCTAGCGGCGAAACAGCTGAACTAATAAAAAAAAATGTATGTCCGATCACGCATATTGGAAAAAAATAAAAATTCATATTTCGTAACTTTATCGATATATCATGCTTCCTAAGGCATTCTAAAGCAAGTTTTTATTAACTCTTAATGCCTATCATTACCGATTAAGCCGAAAAAAAAAACAATATTTATTGAAATAGGTTTCACCTGTTCGCCAGAGAAATGGCGCCACTTGTTCCATTTTTTTGAAAAGCCGTGGAGACTGAGGTTCGTGAAGGAAAGTCTGGTCTGGTAAATAACGCACAATGATTTTCGTTGCAAGTATTGCACTTTTTATTAATTCGCGACACGTGTTGCTTCGTCAGCTTTCTTACGCCAAGTGGAGGAGCGTCATTCTTATTTTTAATAAAATAAAAAGTAGCTAGTAAAGGAACTATTCCAGAGGGCGTGTGTGTCGCTGTCGCTACAAAGCATTTACATATGGCGCTACCCCTGTGACAAAAATATGAGTTAACCTATGTTTTTCAATGTCATTTTTTAGGTCATAATTATAATAGACGGTGAAAATGTTTCTAATGAATAACAGATTAAAAATGATTTGAATATATATAATACATTGTATATAATTTATTTTTGAATATCATTTAAACAATAACATAATTTTATAAAAGTGAATTACAACAAAAATGTCTATTATATTACGAACAGCGTTATTTAAACCCCATGTTAATTATTCGAGGAGTTCAAGGTACATTCATTTATAAATGATGGATAAAATATTAAATAAATAATGCAATTTTTATTGTAGGGACTCCGTTTTAGCGCTTATATCAAGGCATAGAGGTAAACCATTCAACATAACAAAAAGAAAATTCAATAACAGTACCAAAGAACCCACCACAACTAATTCTACCTCAAAGATTTTACCGTCTATTTTAAAATTTGGTTTTAGTAGTTTAGGTGGTATAGCGACAGTATGTTTGTTAAAGAGCCATAACTCTATCGTAGAAGGTAAAACACTTAAACTTCCAAGAGAGGTTGACCATGACAATGAAGAATTGAGCTTCAAATGGAAAAAGTTTTTGGGATATTTATATCCATATTTTTGGCAATTATTAGTAGCATTATCAGTAAGTATCTTTGGGAACAATATTCATATAAAAGTATTGTATCTACATAAATGTATTTATAATGTTAGAGTGCATTGGTTGTTGCTCTTTTAAACATTTGGATCCCACAAGGTATTGGAAACATTATAAATGTGTTAACACAACTTTATCAATCAAAAGAAGATGGTACCGTTCAAAGTATACTTACACAACTTACAGAGCCTGCATTTGCAATGGCTCGTTTATATCTTGCGCAAGTATGTAATCGATGGTTTTACAAACTGTGAAAATCTCGAATTTTATTTATAAAAAATTTAAATGAAAATGTTGTCTATTTTAAAGAATTTCAGCAAACTTTGTTCTTAGGCATTTTTTACATTTGTGTACATCTACACACTTTCTCACGTGGGTGAAAGAATAGCAATGAACTTACGACAAGATTTGTTTAAATCAATTATAATGCAAGACATCACATTCTTTGATAAAAATCGTAGTGGTGAAATAGTAAGTCGACTAACCACTGATATTCAAGACTTTAAAAGTACTTTTAAAATTTGTATATCGCAAGGTTTAAGAAGCTTTACCCAAATTATTGGATGCGTAGTGTCTGTAATAGTTATTTCACCACAACTTACCTGTGCTATGGTGTTGTCTATGTCCTCCATAGTTCTTGTTGGTACAGTAATTGGAAGAAGTTTAAGAAAACTGTCTGCAGAGGCACAGAATCAAGTGGCTAAGTCCACAGCTGTTTGTGAGGAAGCTATACAAAATATTAGAACGGTACACTAATTGCTAATACTACTAAATATATAAAAAAAAATAAAATTTTTCAATCTTCATTTTCTTCACAGGTAAAAGCATTCTCAGCAGAGGAAAAAGAAATAGAAATGTTTTCAGAAGAAGTTAAATTAAGTTCTCAATTGTATGAAAAATTAGGTTTTGGAATAGGTTTGTTCCAAGGAGGAACAAATTTGTTTCTCAATGGTATTTTGCTCTGTACGTTATATTTTGGTGGACATTTACTGTCTACTAATCAATTGTCAGCAGGAGATTTAATGGCGTTTTTAATGGCTACACAAACAATACAAAGATCTCTGGCACAATTATCTCAATTATTTGGAACGTACGTTAGAGGTATTAGCGCTGGCGCTAGAGTTTTTGAGGTACATTTTATTATTTTATCATAATACAATTGAAAGTACTTTTTACAGTTTTTAATTTGTTTCTATAGTACCTGGATATGCCGCCATCACCGATGATGGTTAACGGCGAAGTAATCACCGATCGATCACTTGCCGGAAATATAACTTTTAAAAACGTGAAGTTTAGTTATCCTACTAGACCGGATCACATTATCTTAAGTGACTTTAACTTAAACATTCCTGCCGGAAAAACAGTAGCTATTGTCGGCTCCAGCGGTAACGGTAAATCGACGATAGCAGCATTATTAGAAAGGTAATTGTCGAAATTCTTCTCCATTTAAAAGAATTATACCTTGTTAGCACTCATAAAATATTTTAGGTTTTACGACGTTAACGATGGCTCAATTACGATTGACGGTAAAGACTTGAGATCGCTCAATGCCGGTTACCTCCGAGGTAACGTTTTAGGATATATTGACCAAGAACCTATTTTATTTGCTACTAGTATTATGGAAAATATACGATATGGAAATCCTGATGCTACAAACGATGATGTAAGTATTATTATTTTCTGGTATAATTTTTACGATACTTATTATTAATATCTGTAGATCGTTCAAGCTGCGAAAGAAGCGAATGCTCATGAATTTATCATGAAGTTCCCAAATAAGTATGAAACACAGGTTGGTGAAAGAGGAACACAATTATCTGGTGGACAAAAGCAGCGCATTGCTATTGCAAGGGCGTTGCTCAAAAGACCATCTATTTTAATTTTGGACGAAGCTACAAGGTAAAAATTGTATCACAACTGACCTAGGATTGTATCACTTTGACTCAGCAGAAATTAATTTCATGTTGATTATTCATTCTAGTGCGTTAGACTATGAGAGTGAAAGAATCGTTCAGAAAGCATTAGAGAATGTTGTACACGGCAGAACAGTTTTAGTAATTGCTCATAGGTTAAGTACAATTAAAAATGCTGACATGATCGTAGTTTTACAACGTGGAGCGATCGCAGAAGTACGTATTACAATATTCTTCAATTTATAATTAAATAATAACTATCATGATTTGTTTTTAGATGGGCACTCATGCAGATCTAATAAAAAAGAAGGGTCTATATTATACTTTAGTAAACGAACAAGAGCGAGAGAACAAATGATGTTAGTGAATGTCTAGACTTTAATACAATTACTAGAGTGATTATTTATTTATGTAGGGAATGTTTGGTGGACTAGGTTGTAATATATACACATCTATAAATATACGCGTATCTTTCTATTCTTCAGCGTTCATAATTTATTTTTATTTGCCCTCATAACTACAATACTTGTAATTCTTAATAAGTTACTATAAAGATAATAAAATGAACTTATATTTTATAAACAGTTTTCAATGTTGAACTGTGCCTAATACTTGCAACAAACACCGTTCAATCATATCAATGATACGAAATACTGCTGACATAATTGGTAATATAACGTCTGTTGATACTCTCCCTGTAGAAGGCATCATGTTTGGCATAGTTGCAGATTCATATTTTGGTATATCATTTTCCTTCGACGCTGCGTTTTGTTTATCTGGCACTAAAGAATGCAATTGCTTATTAAGCGAGTCGGAATTGATTTCAGGTCTTTTAGAATCTGATACCGTCCGCAACGTAGGTGCATTCGATACATTTTCTGAGTTCTGAATATTATTAGCCGATGGCGTTGTGGTTGACAGTTTGTCTTGTTCAAATGATTTATCGTCTGCATTTATGTTCGCATTATCAGGTGCTTTAGTTACAGCACTTTGATTATTCATGTCATTTTTTAAATATTCTGTATTTGCATCATAAGAACTTGTTGTGGATAATATAGTACTGTTTTCATTTTCATTCGAGTTTGCAGTGGTTAACCTTGACAATTCATTATTTAATAGAAGCATGGGGTCTTCTGTAATTTCTTCAGTTGTGCTCTCATTGAAGTCTTGTTTATCAGTTACTGTAGTCTCTGGACTATAGTCAGCTGAAACAGTAGTATGCTCAGGACTTGTTTCTTCACTGACAGACTGAGTTGTAACATCTACTTCACTTGAAGTAGAACCAACTTCAGTAGAAGTAGAAGTAACAGATTCGGAATTTGTATCATTTGGTTCATTCATAGCCAAAAAAACATCTGGAAAATCTTGTTCCATTTCACTAGGTTCTGTTACTTGTTCAGTTGCATCTGTTTCTTTCTCAGTTGTAGACAAATCAGATTGTTCATTTAATTCAGAATTCATTGAAGTTGAACTCTCTAATCCCAAAGTGCTTGTCTCTGTGCTTACAGTTGTTTGCACTTCAAAATTTGCATTATCAGGTGTTAAGAAATCAGTTGTTGAAGTTGTTACAAATTCAGTAGTTGACTGCACAATTTTTTCTGCAACCATGCTATTTTCAGTGGTCGAAATTTCTTCACTACTAGACGTTGAAGATGTAACAACTTCAGTAACTGCATTTTCAGTGCTCAATCCTTCACTAAGTAAATCTGTTTCAAGTGTGCTACCTACAAACGTGGAAGTTTCTGTAAACTGATCTGTAGGCAAGAATTCTCCGCTTGTTGATGAATACGAAAATGTTGTAGTATCTAAAGAATGCAAGTGATTTGATTCCGTCGAACTGGTCTCGTCAACAAACGCATTGAATTCAGTCGACGACAAATCATTATAAGGAAAAGTGGATGTAGGATTATCATATGGCGTCACAGAAACGGTATTCGCTAACGTAACATCTTCCATGCTATCCTCAGTGCTTATCGTATCAAAAATAGTTGCTGTATCAGTAGTATGAGTCACTTTTGTAGGTTTTTTTACATGTCGGTGCTCTCTGTTAATTACAGAAGCACAGAATGGTATGTTCAAGTTTGTGCCATTACAGCTGGATGAAAAATCACACATTTTCGTTTCTGTCTCATACGCCATGTCCTTAGGACATCTGAAGATACTTTGGAACATCCTGTGACCATTTGTTTCACAAGTATAGAACAAGGTGCAGTCATCAGGTACCGGAAAAGGCCCAGGTTCCTTGCATTCGGGAAGTTGAATAGATTCAAATGTATCCAGATTCGGTTGAGCAGTAGAGGAGACTAAGTCTTCAGGATTCACGTCGACACATTTTTGTAGACGACTATCAAAATGCTGTCCTTGGATGCACTCGGCCAAAATAGTTTTGTCATTTTTGCAAATGTAGTAATATCTAGGGTTAGTACAGTGAGGCTGCAACGCTTTGACGCTACACGTGTTTGTGCTATTTATGTAGAGCACTCTGCCACCACCTGTTACGCCTAAACAACGTCCCTCCTCTTTGTCAAAGTATTGGTTGAAACTGCAGATTGGAGGGTCAGGCTTCAAGGCTCTATGTACTCTTTTCTGTGCGGTATTTCTGCTTGTGGCGTCGATATCCTGTAAAGTGTTCATTTATGAAGATGTATCTTTAGAAATATTATGGTCTATTTACTGTATGAGATATTAGTAGTTTTTTCAATATTGATTATCTGATTTGTATGAGTGATCTGCTCAGTTATTTTAAGCTGAATAAGAATACCTCCACAAACTTACTTTTTATTTCTTCACTAGCATCATTTATATGAAAACACATGCAGATTTGTTATAAAATGAATTCCTGTAATAAAGTTATGAAATATATAAAATAGTGAGGAGAATAAAAACTTACAGTTGGTGATTTCAATGGTTGGCCAGCAGCAAATAAAATTAACTGGCACAGTAGAAGTAGAAAGAAACTCTTCATGTTCAATCTTTACATGAATTAATAACTGCTCCTTGCACTCTACAGACTGAGGTGTACATTAGTTAATTCGTCTTTAAAAGTAGTATGACCCTCACAGCAGCTCGTACCGGCACTTTTATATCAAAAACGTGCTCGATAATTATGCGTGATAATTACAAAGATACAAATAACGTCACTTTCGGCGGTGCACGATTGCGTGCAAATTCAATAACTTCTTTCTTACAAAAGCGGTTATCGCTGGTCGTTTGAATGAAATTTAAATATTGATCATTTATTTAAGAATTTTGGACAATTAAAGGTGGTAAAACACATCACTGAGCACGTTTTATAATCCAGTAAACAGAAATACAAGTCCGAAATTATTTATGTTAGTGTTAAAGAGAGATTAATATGTGATTTATTGGGAAGGAGAAAAATAAATATTTAGAAATAAAAACAAATATTTATTACATGACTATACTGGCAATAGATAATAAGTCAGTAACAAATCTTTATATACAGTGTTTCGTTGAAGTACATATCTACAAGATGATCTTTGTTTTATTAAAAAACCAGTAATCCGTGTCTTCCAGATGCTGAAATAGGACTCGATTCTAGGATTGCATATCGTTGCTCGTAATCAAAAACAGTGGCTGTACAATTTTTAGGACGATCACTGTCACCCTGACAATTCTTCAGCAATCGTATTGTGGCACTCGGTATGTGAAATTATTACTGGTTACGATATGAATCCCTGCACCGTAATATGGCATTACATAATGCGAACCATCTGCAGGTCCTACGATCTGCGTCGCTATAAGTATTACATCAGCAAATTGGCCAAGGAAAAGAAATCCTAGAGTACTCAGCTTGAGGAAACCCAATGCTGGGTACCCTAGGTAAAACCTATCTGCTCCAAACATGCCAAGAAATATCGAGAGTAACAATGATGTTTCAAAGGAATATCCATTTCTGTAAGTAATACAAAAACTGCATTTACTTATTATTCTAGTTGGTATATGAAAGATTTTTGTACAACTCAGTGGATTCTTCATGTGACCTGTACTTACGTCCATTTACAAGGAATATCCTTCTTGAATGTATTATTTTTTGTTTCTGTACAAATGAGGCCATCCGCAGCCAGACATAACACTGTCAAGATAATGAATATATAATTTAAAATTTTGTATACATAAATTAACAAACAATGAATAAATAACAGACAAATGAAGATTGCAATAATCAATCACTGTATGACAAAGTATTAAAGGAAATATTTACTGCATATAGGTTATGTTGAACTGTTTCCTCGTTTTTATTATACTGATGAAAATGAAGGGGAATGTCGTTTACCTTTGGCTTTATTTTCTTTAGTACAACCTTTAGGTTGCTGCGTTTTCAGATCTATGAAATCATAATCGGGATGAGGGCAGATGTATTGTCCCATTCGTAGGTTACTGCAGTCAATTTCTTGCGGGTTATCCACGCCATTGCTCAGCGGTATTGAAACGACAAGCAATAAAAGTCCGCTAAGGAATTGCATCAGATGAAACATACCGTTTCATTTTATGACAATTACATACTGCGAGTATCACACTGTCACTCGATCCACACCGTCTCGTAGTTTCTCGACGTCCTATGCATGTTTGTTGTATTTTGAACGCACTGCCATTACGGTCATTTCCGAGTGGCGCTAACTAGTAAACATATTTATGAACTACATTTTATTCTCGTTGGCGCCAGCTTTTCTACATGTAATGTTGACACAATAAAAAATACAGGGAAGAAGCATAATCTAGGCCAGTTTAACAGTAAATATGATAATAGATGCCCTATATTTCCACCTCATCGGTATGTAACTTCGGTATAGTACATAATTTCTTCATTACATGATATATTAACACATATTATTTTTTTAATACAAAATTTAATACGTAAGTCATTTTTAGGTGAAATTTATATTAAAATGATAAATACGAGTGTTAATATCTGTTCTATTTTGAGAATAATGTATTTTGAGAGCTGTACAGTATAGTGTTGGTTTTGAAAAAAATAAACAATGGAAGATCATAACGAGTCTCACATTTTTCCTCGGTAAAATGGCTTCTTCGTCGTTGAAAAGTACTCGGAAAACCTACAGCTTCGAAGAACGGGAAATTTTGATAACCTTGATAAATAAATACGAGGACATCGAGGATAAGAGGTCCGATCCAATATCGATGTACAAACGAAAATCGGCATGGTCCCAACTTGCTAATGAATATAACTCGATGGTTGGTCCCCAAGGCATTCGTTCTGCTGTCCAATTACGACGATGTTGGGAAAATATGAAAGCTTGCAAACGAAATCGAGAGGAAAAGAAATTACGGTAAATATAACGAGTCCGTTATATATTTCGCTCGTAAAAGCACCCATGATGCACTTCGCAAAACCATGATGCATTTCGCGGGAGTTTTGAAATACAGGGTGCCACTGTAGGAACCATTTAATATTTGATCTGAGATATCTTAACTGAATATTTTATCTGTTTGAGACTCAAGGTAAAAAATCATTTTATTACATCACGGAATTAGTTATTTAATTGGCTATGTTTTAAAAAATTTAAAACTTGTAAAACAGAAAGCTTGAAAAATTCAAAGTCACCATGAAGTTTCAGAAAAAATTTGTACAGTGTAAAAAGCTTTCTGTTTTACAATTAAATTTATAAAAACAAAACATGGTTATACAAAATATTTTGTTTTTTGCAGCATGTCAAAAAGTCTTTATCAATTGTCCAAAGATCATATGCGATTGAAGAGTTGGGAAAATAGACATTCTCTACCGGAAGTCCCAAGACCTACCGGAACTGTAGGACTACCGCCAAACGTTGTTTTCGAACCGAAGGAGTCAGAACCGTTCACATTGCAAAGTGTTTGCACCACGAAGCCTTTGCGATCGAATTTGAAGGACGAAAATAATTGTAAAGATATAGGTTATTTTTTCTTCTTTAATTTGTATTAACATTTTGGAGTTTAGAGTTCATTTTCTGCTCTCACTGTAGATTCGCTTGCTGATAAAACGGATTCCAATTTATTCACACCCGGTCCAATGGCTGAATCCAACGATTTGGATTCCACGCACCTTGCCGCCCATTTGGATAAAGAAGAATCGCCCAGGAAGGCTCGTTTAATTTTCAAATCAAACGGAACGCAAACGTTGATCTCTCCCTCGACTGTTCACGATCAGCCTCGTCGAACGAAAAGGTCCCATCACAAAGAAGAAGAATTACATGTATTGGCTCTGTCCGAGGCACAGATGAAGGTCGACATCGCTTCTATGTTGAAAGAGGAGGCCAAGATTAAATTGGAAGAGGCTCACTATCGAAAAGAAGAGGCTAGGCTACGAATGCTCCTTTTTACTTATAAGTTAGATAGGATAAAGGAGGATTGATATAAGGAAATAATATTGTATCGAAAGCACGTACATTTTGGTGCAACATAGGCTTCTTGGTTAACATGTTCCCAAAGTAGATGCTTTGATAATTGCTTTTAATTCTTGGAGAGACTTGGGAGAATCTTTAAATGCTTTGTAAGAGTTGAACTTAACAATTTGTTAAGAGATATTTATATAATTGAAGAACCTAATCTAGAACCTATGGTATATTCTTCCTACGTTCCCTAACCTCAAATTTTGTATGATTCCTCAAAAGCCTAAGTTGCACATGATTGTACTAAGTTATTAGATAAGGACTAGAAATAAGAAAACTGTACTTTGAGTACTTCCTGTTGTATCCGTTTATTATCTCTCTAGCTACAATTTAAACGAAACCGTAATAAATAAAAGCTCATAACTGTTTACGATACTCGCTACATTCAAAACGCGAACAGAGAGACTTTCTCGTAGTTGAAATTTTATAGAACAAAGAAAGCATTCTCTTTTCATCGTTTCGAATTTAAAACGAAGTTTCAATGGATCTTTTTGTCGATGCAGAGTTTCGTTAAAACGCGTCGTAAGCTTTAGCAAATAATAGAAGATTGTAATTCGTAGTTTGATGTATAAACATTCTGTATCAAGCATCGTCAACGTGAATGACTTTGAAAGCAGTTTCCCTATGACGAAATGGTCATTCATTTTGCTCTTGTAAATACGAAACATTTCGTGACATTAATAAACATTTCATTGTAAACAAGTATTGCTCACGGTGATAACTTATACTTCAATGGAAGAATAACTCTGTAAACGACAATGAATTTCAACGGACTGTTAAATCAGAACTTCGATGACCAATTGTCATGGCAGTGGTCACTTGACTAGCAATTCTTGAAGAACAGGAACAAATGATGAGACCTCTAATTACGTCAAATGTATATTAAAAAGAAGAAAAGACTGATCGCTAAAAGTTGAAGTACATAGATATCGTTGAGATCAAACATAGTTTGAAAGATGTTCCTAATAATGCCATGAAAATAAGTCGATGTTTATATTCTTCTTTCGTGTTCTTAGACCTCAAGTTGTTCACATGAGACGGAAGTTATCATCGAGTACAGGTTTCGGCGACGAGCAGCGGGCAACCTCGAACAATGATGGATCGGTATAAATCGGTTCACTCGGATCGAATCCGGTTCTCCTGGGCGATAATCCTACAGCACCCTCCAGAGCGGTCGAGGAGCTCACGTGTTGGCTGATCACGTTGCTCATGGAACGCGAGATTGATCTGTAAATCAAGTAGATCCTTAATTATACCATATGCAAATCGTTAATAAAAGATACTCTTCAGATCGAGAAGGCCATTTCGTGTATCTCTTCTTTTAATCGAAGCAATAAGTTACGTACGTGGATTGGAATGGTTTCTGAAGACCAGTTCTCAAGAAGGAGAAGTTATTCGCCCGACTGCTGTAAGCATCGTCCGAATGACTGCTGCGATTGCATGCTTTATCAACTCGGCGGTTCTTCGTGATCACCGCGTAAGCGTATTTCCTGAAACAATTTACATGAATCGATTTACGTGCACGAACACTGGCGAGTCTCGTGTACGTTCAGAGCTGTGTACCTGTAGATCAGCATTGATAACAATACCACGGAAGCAAGCAGCACCACGAGCACTGCCACTGCTGTTACCAGTCCGTAATACTCGTTTGGTGTTATGCAAACGTCCTCCATTATGGTGGTTTGCCTCTCGACCATTGTTTCTTCGTCGATGTCCATTCTTGAGTCGAGTACCTACGATAATTTTACTGCTGTTACTTGTACAATTTGCAGCTTATATACAATTTGTACCTTAGTACAATATTTTGCAAATCTACTGTAAAACTTTATAAGCAACTTATTATAGGCTTAATTTATTATTTATAAGTAAAGATAGGTACTTTAATACTTAGGTAATAGGTTGTTTAGTACAATATCTTTTCACGAAGACAATTTTATCCGCATGTACTGTAATTTACCTCGATCATTTCTCTCACATGCTCCTCCTCCTCTTCTTCTTCTTCGTCGTTATCTTCTTCAACGACAGTGGAATTCGACACTGAGGACGTGTCATTTGCATTAGCCTCCGTTATCGTGCTTATTTCATTTTCTTCGGTGATTGTGTCATTCTGAGACACGTCCCTTCGTCTTCTTCCAAAGGACGGTTCGCTTCTTCCGGTACCACCTGAGCAATACGCGGGCTGACAACCGTCCCGGCAAGTTCTCACTGTCGCCTCGAACACCAAGAAATTAGATTCGGGGATTTTGAATGCGTTGAATCGAGCCTCGAGGCTGTCTCCGTCGCGCAGACGATCCAGTCCCGGGAACACGTAATTGTCTACCGGGCAGCTGTACGAGAAAGGTTAATCAGTGTCATGAAAATTGCATCTTGTCAAAATTTCTTTGCGTATTTTTATTATTATTCAAATCTGGGAAGTAAATATACTTCTTATGTAAAGAAGATAAATGTTAATTTTGATCTCTGTTGCAGGACTGAGCTGAACTTGAAGGAAGAAAATTATAATATTTGTTAAGAGGATCAAATGAATACTTAAAAGAAGATTAAATGGATCAAATGAGTCAGGTGAATCCAGTGCATTTGATGGAATTATACATGAAGAGTTTTTGGATATGGAATGAATTTTCACATATGAAGAAACTTAGGTTCTAAAGTATGATATACCTCAAGTACTGAATTAAATAAGTAATAGTAAAATTTTAACAGTAGTTACCCATATCTGTCAATGAGTTGAACACTCCTTCCTGAATAAGGATCTCTTGCTATGACGTTGGTAGCAAAAATGTCAGTCACATAATTGTATCTATAAAACAAAAAATTTTTGTAATTCTTTAAACTAAGGTGTAAGTATTTTTGTGATAAAATATTATATACCCATCCTGAGCTTCCAGCCTAAAAGTAAGTGGATCCCCAACAGCAATGGTTGTTGTAGGTCTACCTTGATAGAGGATTAGCAAACGTACTCTGGAACTCAGGGTGTTTTCTGCTGGAAGATATTCGATGGGGATTGGGGACCCTGATCTACAGAATACAAACATTATTAGTAAAATTAAAGATAACTTTTGTTGATTTAATTATGCCTTGTTTCACACTTGATTTTATAGTATGTCTTGTTGCAAACTTGATCTTTAATTTATGGTCTTCAAACAATAAAAAAAAGAAACTTTGCAGAACTAACATGAAATGCAATCAAACTTGATTAATAAATAGGTGAATTTTTTTCAGGTGAAACAAGACAAGATAGCTCTCGATTGCGGAAGAAAAAAGACTACATTAAAATAAGTTCATCGAGAGTGCTTGCACCGGGTTCCCATGCAAACGAATGTTGTACACGTTGCATTTTGTACTCGATATCGGACTGAATTGTTTAATTAAGTGTACCAGGTGCAAGGCACGGTCTCTCAATCGATATGACCTGGCATACCCGGCACCGATGTAGCCGGATGTGACGACAGCTTCGCCAGGGCCTCGAAACAGACACGTGAGATTGAAGCGTTTGTCTCTTCCTGTTTGCACGTAGTCAGAGAACTGTACCACGACGATGTTTGTCATTGTATCTCCATACTGCAATTTGGTTCATCAAATTTTTATATGATCATTGATACCAAGTGTTAGTTCGTTAACCCTTCTTCAAATTTTCAGATATCACACTTGTTTAGACTAATACTTTACTGTATCTTGATGAATACTCATGTTAGTGCTTGAAAGCTTGGAGAGGTTTCTGTATTCCATAATCCAAAGAAGGGTTAAGTTTATAAATATAATGTTGTGTGTTAACTTTTATATAATTCAGTAGATGAAGCAAAAGTTAGATTGATATGTTAACAATGTTAAAATGTTAAAATGACTTTTTTGTTTGTCACAATGTAGATCTTTTTGTAAATGTTTTTATATTTACAGAAACTATGGATATGTCTGGTATCTTAATTTTGATATACTGGGCACAGTGCACTAATATCTGACAGGATCTTACTCTTTGAGTGCCGCATTCAGGATAACCCTGAGGACCACTGATTCGCAGCACGTTCACCGTTCCTCCGTTTCCACGGAAGAAGCAGCGATCGTAATAGCCGTAAGTATATATCCGGCCAATGAATCCTTCCGGTGTCCTTAAAGTAAATTCCATTCCATCTTCGCTACAGACTTGACTCACTAGAAGGACCAGAAACACAGTGATTCTCCCAAACCAGAACTAAAGTGCCAGAGATTCTCAAGTGAAACTCTTGTATCAATCAAAATGGCCGAAGATTCAATCAAAATGCATCAAGCTTCGACTAACAGGCATTAAGCTTTATGTCCACATGGATCAAACTTTAAATCAAAATGGATGAAGCATCAGCTAAGTGTTTGTCAAAGTGAAATAAGCTTCAATCAAGGTGCCTCAAGCTTCAATTAAAATGTATCAAGTTTCAATACAAATGCATCAAGCTTCAATACAAATGCATCAAGTTTCAATACAAATGTATCAAGTTGCCAGAGATTCTCAAGTGAAACTCTTGTATCAATCAAAATGGCCGAAGATTCAATCAAAATGCATCAAGCTTCGACTAACAGGCATTAAGCTTTATGTCCACATGGATCAAACTTTAAATCAAAATGGATGAAGCATCAGCTAAGTGTTTGTCAAAGTGAAATAAGCTTCAATCAAGGTGCCTCAAGCTTCAATTAAAATGTATCAAGTTTCAATACAAATGCATCAAGCTTCAATACAAATGCATCAAGCTTCAATAGAAATGCATCAAGTTTCAATACAAATGCATCAAGTTTCAATACAAATGCATCAAGCTTCAATACAAATGCATCAAGCCTGAAGTCAAATTGAATCAATCTTGAGTCTGAACGAATTAAGCTATAGTCTAAACAAATCTACCTTCAATCTAAATGCAGTAAGGATCAATCAAAATGAATGAAGCTTCAGTTAATATAAAGGTTCACATCAACATGTATCAAATTACAATAAAAAAGCATCAAGCTCTAAATCAACATGGATCAAACTTCAAATCAAAATGCATCAAACTTCAAATCAACGTGAATCAAACTTTAGATGAACGTGAATCAAACTTCAAATCAACGTGAATCAAGCTTCAGATGAAGCCTCAATTTGGTCAACAAGCGAATCAAATAAACGGATGTACAACAAAAAAAGTAAAAAAAAAGTATCGTATACAGAAGACGGTTTATTTCTTCAAGTCCGTACAATCATTTTGATCGAATCGAGTATCGGTAAGTCGCACGTGGACGGGCTGGGTAAAAATCTCTCCACACGATCCACGTAGCCGGCATCCAAGGACTACGACGCTTACCGTCGAGACACTCCGCGTCGGCGCCCTGTCTGCCGTTGTTCCGCTCGTAGAAATCATAGTCAGATCCCGTGTCGTAGTAAACAGGATTGCCCATGTCCATGTCCCTGGAGTCCCGGTCGCTCAACTCGCAGTTATCCCTTTCAGCGCCGTAGGGAGCAGCGTAGGGACGATAGTTGAAGGACCTGCAGACGAAGTCCCTGGCGTCGGCGCACTCCCTCTCGCACTGCGCCAAAGACGAGGCCGTCGTGTAGCGTCTGACGAATGGTTTCCGTACCCTGGTGTGGGGTCCGACTTGCCGGAAGTTGTCCTGCTCGTCGCATCTGGAGACCAGGGGCGGTCGGCCGATGATAGGACCGCCGCTGGTGCCGAAAGGTCTGGAGTTGTACACCCCGCCTTCGCCTATGTAACCGCCTCCGATGATTCCACCGTCGTTGTTGTAGCCACCGTAGCCCAAGGGTCTTGTAGGACCTGCCACCCCGTAGGGGTTGCGATCTGAGTGGGGCTGGGGACCGTAGACGTCGTCCACGGGGTAGTTTGCGGGATATGCACCGTGAGACGATGGAGGGTACCTGAGAATACAGAATGTGAGGTGAAGAAATCTGGATGAGGAGATCTGTGAATTTGCTATTCAATAATCTAAGAATGTGGAGATATTGATAGGTTCGCATATCTCCAAAGGGTAACCCGAGTGTTCAGCCAGATATCTGGCGCCAATGACAATGAGGGAATCGAAAGAAGGAAGAATAAAACAGCCAAATCATCCCGTTTAATCAAAGTTACCATTGAGAGACTGAATTGTTCAAGAAGAAGATACAGTCTTAATCTCGAACGTCTTTATCCTCCGTTTCTTTCATCCTATTATTAAACTTCAATCAAGAAAAGTTTCACTGACTTACCGACTGGGATAAAGATCCTTCTCCGGATACCTTTCGTTGATGGGATACCGGTCGACGTGGGGTCTGACAGCCCCTACTGCTGAAGGGTATCTTTCCAGAGGATCATCAGGGATGGGGTATCGGTCGATGGCGTTAGGATATCGATCGCTGTCGCTAGGAAAACGGCTCGAAGATATTGGATACCGACCACCAACGCCAGTAGGGTAACGGCTGTTTGTTGGATACCTGTCCACTGCAGGATCAGGAATGGGATATCGATCAGGTTGAATGGGACGTCGATCGCCACCTCTGATAGGGAAACGGTCAGCGACTGGGTATCTGTCCGAGCCTGGATATCTATCAGGGATTGGGTAACGATCACTGACGGGATAACGATCTATGGGGTCGGGAAAGGCATCTGGTCCGGCGATGGGATACTGTCCGTTCAGATGATATCGGTCTGGATATTTGTCCGGGTATCTATCCGGATATTTGTCGGGGTATCGGTCCGGATATTTGTCAGGGTATCTCTCCGGGTATTTCTCCGGGTATCTGTCTGGGAATTTGTCTGGGTATCGCTCCGGGTACTTGTCCGGGTATCTGTCTCCAGGATAACGATCCGCATACTTGTCCGGATATCTGTCCAATGGATAACGATCTGGATACTTGTCCGGGTATCGGTCTGGATAGCGATCTGGATAGCGGTCTGGATAGCGGTCTGGATAACGATCTGGATAACGGTCCGGGTGGCGATCGGGATAGCGATCTGGGTGACGGTCTGGATAACGATCTGGCTTAACACTACTGCTGTATCCTTTGTCGTAGTCGTCCGGGTATCCTGCAAATTTGAAGTGTGTTTGAAATTGTTACTTGTAAATTGATACCAAGCATGTATTATTGAAGCGAATTATTGTATTCAGGTGAGGTTTCATATAAATTCTGCTGTTCAAATTTCATGTATAACTGATAACATTTTGTATTCCTCAGGGTCTGGAAGTTCTGGAGTACAAGTGGGAAAACTTAGTTCTATAAAATAAATCTACTGGGGTTTATCACACTGTACACGATTGAAGATTGGAAGAAGACATAAAGATTGATCTATTTTTTACCGGGTCTTCCTAAGGATGGTCGACCAAAATTGGTGTCCTGTCCCAAAGGGTCTGGCCTGTATCCTGGGCTGTCTCGGTCTCCATCCAAATATTGATCTGCCCAAACAATTATATTTATAATCTAAAATCGTGATCAGACTATTGTAGACTTGTACGCGAAGTATTAACACGTTGATTGCTGTCTTAAGCTTACTATAAGTGGTAGTACACAAACTTGTAACTTAATATATTTTCTAAATTATTAATTCTTGAATGTCCCATTTGTGACGAGGTCAACGTGTTAATGACTCAAAGGGGAATATTCCGAACAGGGCAGGTCAATTCACTCACGCATAAGGTTCTCGTAGTAATCGTAATCTGCATCGTAGATGATCCTATGGCCATCGCGTTGATTGAATCGGCTCAATCGACAGGTGTGATAATGTTCAGAATACACGGCACTTCTGCATTGAAAGCTGGTCTGTCGAAGACACTCGTCAAGGCATTCGCTCAGGCTGCGACCGGTGATTTCCGAGTGAAATTCTCCGCTTAAACGGGAGTTTCGATAACGTTGAAACGCGGTGTCAGGACGTCGTCCATCGGAGAAAAGGTGCGACGAAGAGCTGCTGTCCGGGTATTCGGAGCCACGTGCTATGGACGGATCTACGTTTCGTAAGTGGGTATTGATAAAGCGTTGTGAAGCGCTAATTGATCGTTTCGCTGGTATAACAATTTGTTATTCAGAGGTCTATGAACCATCACAAACAGTTTTATTGCCATCGTTATTAGATACAAAGAGTTATTCACTCTAATACTAATCCTCTGTTATTACAATTTTCAGGTTGGATTTATAAAGGAAAACGAGTGGGACTTTTGGAAAAACACTAACTCTTCACTACACTAAGTCACAATACATATAGTGCTACTAAATGTGGATCTATGATATATGCAAAGTGATAAAAATGTCTGAGCTAATCTTGTGGACTAATTCTATTAATAATTGAAAGAAAATTTTAGAAGGTATCCTTAAATATATATAAAGCTTCTATGAATATATAAATTTTTAATGTAATATTAGAACTACTGTTATAATACCTCAACATGCAGAATTATGTTATCGATACTGTGATTTCAGGTACACTTACGATTGTCCAAACAAACCAAGTCATAAAAGTGATGGCTAGGACTGCTGCTGATTCCGATATCATCTTTTTGTGAAACGGAGTCTTCTTCCGAAATGACACATTGTCGCGTTTGTTCGTCGAATTCGACGCTTCTGCAGAAATATTTTTCTGCTCTGAGACAAAGAGCTTGACACTCGTCCAAAGTAAGGTTCGTGTAAATGTCGACTTCAAATGGTCCTCGAAGACGCTTGTTTTCTTCTTTGACGAACACTGCCAATCCATCACAGCGACGTTCAGCTGAATCACAAATTTTTATATATATTTTTAAAAATATAAACATAAATAATATAAGTATATAATGAATTGATAATACCATTTAAACAGGTGTTCTCCAAGTAGTCGGAATTTGGGTCGTCTTCAAGTAGCTCTGGATGAGTTCTCCTGGTAAAACGACTTAGAGCACAGCTTCTCAGTGCTGTGTCATAGGTTGCAGATCGACAGATGAAGCTGAACTCGTTTAGACATCTTTGAAGCAAAGAAGAAAACACATCAAGTGTAATTAATCATAAACTTTTCATTTGTGGGTAAATATTTTTAGTTAGGTGCCACTTAGGTTCTAATCTTTTAATATATTACCAAAGCCACATGGTGAAGATAGGTTAGGTTAGGTTATAATAGGTGAAGTTAGATTAGGTTAGGTTACAATTTTGTAGTCAAGGTTATCACCTTGATGGTGAGTTGTCAAAGTTTGATAGAAGGTTAAATCGAATAGGACGAATTAACTTTAGCTTAGATTTATTCTGATAAATGATGTACTGAAAATTTGGACAATAACTATTGTATCAGATTAGCTAAATAAAAGGTAGAGAATATGTTCTACCTGTCCTCACAGTCCGTTCTATTCGCCGCGCTAACTTCTTTAATATCCGTCAGTGGCAGTTTCAATTTCTTCCTCGGATGTCTCTCAAACACATACCGTCTATTAGGGCATTCCCTTTCTATCCTGTCAGCTACAAAAAAATGCAAAAGTTAATACCAGTTTTTCTTAAAGGTATAATTCCTGCAATGATTGAAAGCAATTATCGGATACTCACAGCCGAGGCAAACTTCAGTGAAATGAACGCTGTTTGGCACCAGCATCAGATTCCCTATACCTTCTGGCTGAGCCTGCTCCCTCGTTAAATAACAAGTACTCTCCTCGTACTCTGCAGCTCCGCTGAAAGATGCTATTCTGCTACCAGGTTGAAAATCGAAGCTGGTACACGCTCGAACTAAATTGTTCGTCGCCGTTCTGTCGCGTAGACAGAGCTCCTGACATTTTTCCAACACTCTGAACGGGGGTGCAGAGTCTCTCACCTGAGGAGAATTAATTATTTATTAGGAAGAATTTCATTGTTGTAATTAGAGTGGCGTGGCAATGTTTGTAGATAAATATTTTATACCACGTCGTCGTCGAAACCCTGGAGTTGTTGGTCAGGGAGCCTCTCGTAGACCACTCGACCTAAACCGCCATTGCAGGTTGTTTGACCTTCAAACAGAAATTATTATAGTTGCAAAATTCTTTTACAAAGTCAGCATATATTCTAAAATCTGCATATTTACATTTTTGTACGGGAAGTCTATTTTAATATTCAGAAGGTACTTGTAAAATATTAAAACACGTAAGGGATGATTTACAAAATGTTAGAGATGAAATAAAAAATGACTTTCAAATATAGCAAAGTATTCTCATAACATTAGGAAATATTAGACAATGAATTGTGCATAATTTTGTCGACCTTTTTATGTTACATAGAAAAAGAACACCAATTTCCTGCGTGCTCATAAAATGCAAAAAAGATATTTTCTATGTGCCATTGAATGCACGATTCGTATTATTATTCCACGAACAGATTATTATTTCCTGTGCCATCGAAAAATCAGGTTATTTCCTTTGGGCATCGGCATCGTACCGATTTTATCGCTACGTTTTTCGTGCCATAAGTGGCACGCGGGTGATACAATAGGACGAAACGTAATTTCGCAAGTCCGCAAGTGACATCACGTTCTGCATTCCATCATTAATTTACGCGATTGCGTTTCATGCGTGCTCGTTTCACAGAAAGAATTTTTCAGAGCATTTATCACAGGAGCTTTCACTCCAGTTCTTTTTGTTCTCAGAAAGTGTTCAATATTTTTAGATTATTCCGTAGAGAATTGATGTAATTCTTACCATTAACCACTACTTTTAGAGTAGCGAGAAGGGAAATTGATTGTAGCAGGTGCGATACATTAGTTTTCTTCATCTTCATTTACTGCAATCAGTCATTCCAATGAACTCTGTAACCAGAAAATTACTAGAATTTATAAATATAGAAAATTAGAAATAAACCTAAGAAATTGCGTAACGAATACAACCATCCCTCTCAGTGATATTACACCCCCCGCAAAACAAGTAATCACTCAATCTAAATAATTTTCCCCGTGATTTCAGTTCGAAGCCCAGCTAGTTACGATAATCAAGCAGATAATGGACAAGTAATAATGTAATGCTTGAAAGTTGGAAACACGGTCCGTTGCTTTTACGGGCGTGTGGTCCTTTGCCCTCGTGTATGTACTTACACATATGTACGCATACAACTTGCAGAGGAAAAGGTTCATGGGGGTGCGAGCATGTGGAGGTGTTCAGGGTGAGTGCAGCTCAGGTATTCCGTAAAACCTTGTGCTGTCTCTGATACATGTTTCAACATATACGAATACAAAATGAATTCATTTTCTCTGTCATCTCCTGTGACTTCAAAGACACTTTTTTATGCAATCTTACTGCCATCTCCAGCCATTCAACACTTCTCTCTCAATTTTAATATGGAAACACAAATTATTTGACTGTTTTTTAATTTGTTGTATTAACTTTAACTGGCTGGTTTGATAAAGAGGTCTTTTTGAGAGTTTTTTAGGGTTTTGTAGTTTGTTTATTTAAAGTGGGTGCTGTATAAAATAGTAAAAATTATGTAATAAAAATTGTATGATATTTTGTAAAATTTATGTATGTGAAGTTTAGTAAGAATTATGTACAATTTAGTCAAAATTATTAATTAAGCGAGTTACAAAAATTAAGTGAATTACAAGAATTAAATGAACTACAAAAATTAATTGAATTATAAAAATTAAGTCAGTTATAAAAATTAAGCAAATTACAAAAATTAAGTCAATTAAAAAAATTAAGCAAATTACAACAATTAAGTGAATTACAAAAATCAAGTGAATTACAAAAATTAAGTCAATTAAAAAAATTAAGCAAATTACAAAAATTAAGTGAATTACAAAAATTAAGCAAATTACAAAAATTAATTGAATTACAAAAATTAAGCAAATTACAAAAATTAAGTCAATTACAAAAATTAAGCAAACTACAAAAATTAAGTGAATTACAAAAATTAAGCAAATTACAAAAATTAAGCAAATTAAAAAATGAACTGAAAATAAAATTCACATACAATTTAACAAAAATAGCATGCATTTTATTAATTAAAAAACGACGTAAACAGTAGATAAGCTTAGATGAAATTTGTAATAGGAGAATGTATAATTGCAGACAAAATTAACTTAATGGCAAAGGTGACTAGATCCTCCAGCGACCAACTGTAGCCCGCAATTATGAACGGAATGTATCAATTTGCAAATGATCAATTATCCCACACGTGCCTGTCTGTTAAAGGTATTGAATGCAGTACAACATGTGCCTCATAGAAACGCTGCTTATTAATTACGTTATGGTTTATCGCCTCGATAATTGTACATAGTTGCCTGTTCAAAGGGGATGGATGCTTGTTCAGTGATTAACGTTACGGTCGACGAGAGAAAATTACAGATTTGGTCATTCGAGTACTCGTAATACTATATTCAAACGATACTGTGATTACAGATTATTGAATTTCCTTAATTGTTCTGTTCGCTATTGAACAAAACTGGTCGAGACTAAACAGTGAATGTAGGGAAAGGTAACAATGGTATGTAACAAAGGTATGTGGTGGTCTTTTGCTTTATGTGGTTATTTATGGAGGAAATATTTTTGATAATTATTTATGATAATTATTTATTTACTGGTTTTATTATTTTGCAGATTTAAGCTGTTGTAAGAGGGAGTTTTGATGGAGGGATGTTTTGTGGTGGTGACTGTTATATGGCTGTGTGTGGTTTGTGGAATTGGAGATTTGGGAGTTTTAAATTTTGTGATTTGGTGAGTTGGGGATTTGGGAATTTGGGAATTGCAGGAGTGGGGAATTTGAAAATTTGGGAATTGGAGGAGTGGGGAATTTGAGAATTTGGGAATTTGAGAGTTTGGGGAATTTGAGAATTTGGGATTTGAGAGTTTGGGGAATTTGAGAATTTGGGAATTGGAGGATTGGGGAATTTGAGAATTTGGGAATTGGAGGATTGGGGAACTTGAGAATTTGGGAATTTGAGAATTTGGGAATTGCAAGTGTGGGGAATTTGAGAATTTTGGAATTGGAGGAGTGGGGAATTTGAGAATTTTGGAATTGGAGGAATGGGGAATTTGAGAATTTGGGAATTGGAGGATTGAGGAATTTGAGAATTTGGAAATTGAAGGAGTGGGGAATTTGAGAATTTGGGAATTGCAGGAGTGGGGAATTTGAGAATTTGGGAATTGCAGGTGTGGGGAATTTGAGAATTTGGGAATTGGAGGAGTGGGGAATTTGAGAATTTGGGATTTGAAGGATTGGGGAATTTGAGAATTTGGGAATTGAAAGAGTGGGGAATTTGAGAATTTGGAAATTGGAGGAGTGGGGAATTTGAGAATTTGGGAACTGGAGGATTGGGGAATCTGAGAATTTGGGAATTGGAGGATTGGGGAATTGGAGAATTGGGGAATTTGAGAGTTTGGGGAATTTGAGAGTTTGGAGAATTTGAGAGTTTGGAATTTGAGAATTTGGGATTTGAGAGTTTGGGGAATTTGAGAATTTGGGAATTGGAGGATTGGGGGATTTGGAAATTGGGAATTTGTAAATTTGGGAATTTAGGAATTTGAGAATTTGGTAATTTGGGAATTTGGAAATTTGTGAATTTGGAAATTTAGAGATTTAGGAATTTAGTAATAACGTAATTTGGAAATTGGTAGACCTAGTAACCCATAAATTTGAAAAACTATGAACTCGTGCTATGCCTCTAAAGAAGTGTAAAATTCTACAAATTGAATTCCTTTCAAAACCTTGTTATGAATCGCACAACAAAGTCATTATCGTGATTCCTTGAAACGTAGATGATACACGGATAACAGTGTTGCGCGTCTCAAAGAGTTTTAGAATTCTTCGATTGCGTGATATTAATGCTTGCCGGAGGTTCGTCAAACACAATGGAAGATTATAATTGTTCGCTGTACAGGTGTCCGATTGTCTGATAGAATTTATGAAGTAACCCTGTAATTTACTTCTCTTAATACCTCGTAAATTATCAAAATGTATAAACTTTGTCTAAAATCATAATTCATTAGTTAATGTAACTTTAACAACCAAAAATCTCCGTCTACTTAAAACTTCATAATCTTCGCCATTTTCATAATCTTCGCCATCTTCATAATCTTTCAACTTCCTTCAGCAAGTTTCTTAATTCCAATTAATTAACCAATAATTCCTAAGTCTTTCTATTTATTTAACCAAACCTCAAATCACAAATATAGAATTAACAATAACACTAATACTCACAAAATTTTGTTCCAGATTTCGCAGAAGAACCGCCTGCTCCGCAAGTTCTTCCTCATCAACTCGTAGGACCTCGATCAGCTTCCTACTAAAACGATCCCAAGAAAAAACCCACTAGAACCGGCCATCCAACGCGAATGGCACCTGTAATCAAACTGGCGGTCAAAATCAGCGCAAACAGTGAAAATAATGGATAACACCTGACAAATAGGTAGGGGAAGAGATGGCGATGGAAGAATCGTTTCGATGAATGATTCTCGTATAGACAGGCCATAGGGGGCAGAAGAGATAACGCACCGGTGGTACACAGGCGCGGTGTGGATCCCCACGTCCGATTTCTGGCCTTGTGCTCACCGGAAGTGGATCTATTGTGTCCGGTTTCCGTGGGGCCATCCGGGAAAACGATCGACGTGCGTGTAAACCACAGCACCATAGGTTCTCAAGCTTTGTCATCTCGTGAAACGTTAATTGTATCATCAGGGTGCTATGTACACTTAAATTAGTTAGGATAGTAGACTTATACTAGTTTAGAAAGAACCATGGTGTTTAGAAACACCACCATTTTAGATTGAATGTACACCTTTAGAATTTTTAGACTTCTTCATCGATAAATTTCCAAGTTGTTAAATTTCAGTATAAAATTTTCAGACTGCAAGTTACTAAGTTTCTAAATTTGCAAATTTATCGACTGAAAACTATCAAATAATCTTCCTCGACATTATACCCGAGTCCACAATGCTCTCTTCTGTACCATTCCCTTTTTAAAGCGATTAGCATGATATTGTATAAATTACGATTAAATTGAAGATGGTGGACACGTGTTGTACATACTTCTGGAAAAGAAGATTGAATTTTTAGTATAAATGCGTTTGTGAAATCATTTTAATGGCAGAGACCCCCCAGGGACTGATTTTGTAACGTTTGAGAGTCGGTGCACCAGAACACCGCCATATTGGGTTGATTGTGCCGATGGACGATCGCTTGTAGCGGAATCATGGATTAGAGATTCCTACCCGAGGTCAATTAGGATGAACAACGAGCTGGGTTGGTGGTTGACGTGATATGAACACGAATCACCATACCTCGTTCTTTATTGTGGACTATTTTTAACTCCAATTTGTTTTTATTCAAATTTGGTGGTCATGAACAAGAGAGCATTAGCATTCGTCAATTTTGTAGGCAGATGGTCTTTGTAAAAATTCATTGTCATTCGGAGGTCTTTATTTTTTGTGCTGGGTTGCGTGCGGTAGCATTTTTGCATAATTTAATTTTGTAGAATCATTTGTATACCTGCGGTCTACCTTTTTGTTATTTTATTGTACTGTCCTTTTTTTACTTTATTTTACTGTTTTGTTATCTCATCATTGTTTATGTTATGTTACTTATTATTTTTTATCATATTTCAATTTTACTTCTCTACTAGATTAATATTTAATTGTTACTGTTTTACTACTGTATTATTGTATTATTATTGTATAACTATTTTACTATTTCACTATATTGCTATACTATCTATATTATATTTTACTAATTCTATTATATTACTGTACTATCTTATTATTTTTGCAATTACACTATATCTTTATTTTTGTAAATTAGCTCTTAGACTTGCATAAATAATTGGAATAATATTTGTCCTCTTGTCTATGTCCATTTTATATTTGTTCACATATTTGTTTGTACACATAAATATTCTGTTCCGCTACAACTCTCTATTTATTAGAACAGAACACGAAATACATTCTTACAAAGTTACGTGACTAAAAGTAACATAAACAGAGTGTCATAACAAAATATTCAGTTTCGTATTTTTGAATTTTCGCGCCCTTCTAACGCGCTTTTCCCGCGTTTGCGTACTATATAAGTAACGTCCATCTATGTTCGCTGTTAGTTGTGGCAAGAGCTGTCAAGCACTCGATAGTTTGGCACAGTCAGCTGATGGCAAAATGCAATTACATGTTTGTGATACACGAAATTAATTGTATTTTTCGTGTGTAACCGTGAAATTCCTCGAGAGTCATCGATACACAAGCTGCTTTTATTCGAATTTCTCAAAAGAGTTTAGGTGAGAAAAATCGCTATTATATTAATATTAGAAACGATTATACGACCACTTATTGATTTACGATAAATTCATGGTGCATCTAAAGTTAACGGGATTTAATACTATCCAAACATTCTTGACTATACTATGATCATTAACCTACATTCAACGTTGATACTTTCTATTAATTGATTTTCATAATTTCTCTGTTATTGAGGTTAAGATCTATGTGTAGTTTACAAAATTTGAAACATTGGTTTAAAATTTTAGAATGTTTAAGTAATGTGTATGTATGTACCTTTCTTTACAGATAGCATACAAGGACTTTTATACACGTATAGCTGGAGAGAAACTATATTATGAACAAAATGCCTCTAAGCACAGGTAAATCAATGTTTATAAACATATATACTATCTGCAACTAGACAGTGGATTACTCATTCATTATTATTTATTACACTCTTTTAAAAACATACGTTCCATGTGTCTTTAAAATCTCTGTCTATGATTCTTTAATATGCAAATTTTCTTTTTTCTACATTTATAGACATATCAACTGCGCTTCATTTGCTGGAGCATGTACAAGAAAGAGTGGAAGACTGTGACGATCCCAAGCTACAGATGCACACGACTCAAGACATAAAATCATTAATATCTCTTTTGGAAGATCCAGTATTTCGCAGTATAGTTACAATTCAAGACTCTCTCATAGAATTAAACAATCAGTTGGGACAGCATCCATCTATTATTCCTGGAGATTTTGACATTAATATCAGTGGACAGTTGGAGCTCTCTGTTCCTACCACACCGGTGCAACCATTGGGATCAAATGTATACCAAGATTTGTATCAAGATAGTAGTGAATTGGAAGATCAAAGAGTTCCTGTTACTCCACTGGTGCATAGCAGCAGTGAAGATACCAGTGCTCAGGTAAATGTTTCAGTATTATGTGAATGCACTTTTAAATAATTTATTAAACTTTTATTTCATTACAGGTGAACAGTCCTAGTCTCGTATCTGAAGTTATGGGAATGCCACCAATTACAACAACAACGTATGCAAAGGAATTCAAGAAGGTCATTGAGGCAGCAGCAAGAGGACGCCAGATATTTACTGTGCAGGTTAGTTAAATGTATTTGATTTATATTTTGTTTATGAGCATCTAATTTGTAGTTATAAAATAGTTATCAAATAATTGTGTTGTTTCCAGCTGTACAAACCAGAGGGTACCAGTCTAGGATTCAGTGTTGTTGGGCTCCGTAGCAAGGATAAAGGGGAGCTTGGCATATTCCTGCAGGAAATACAACCAAATGGCATAGCAGGGTGGTAAGTCCAACTTAATTACAGTATGAATTATGGATGAAATCACTTGTTTACTTAAGAAATTTCTAGTATTATAAATTGTTTACAACGATTCAACTATAAGGAACATATGATTTCATTCATTGTTAATAGATGTAATATATGACTGTGTATAATATACCACTTAAACCGTGAGACTAATTTCGAGAGAAGAACGCTAAATTTTTTTCGTTTACGTAATTCGCTTATGGTATTACCTCCAAACAGATAATATCATAAAGTGCGGATTACGCAAGCAATGATACATTCGAAACGTAATTGTACCTCCTTGCGTAACATTTTAAAGCGAAAATTTTATTTTATAAAAGGATTTAAAAAGATATAACTCTGAAGAGGTAGTTTTATGAAAGAAAAAAAAATATTATCAGAAAAAAAATTCGTTCATATTTTGTTGTAATATTCGTACAATTTATTGTATACCCCATGACATTTTTTGCAATAGTCAGAAATATAAATCTGAACTTGAAATTACAAGGGTAATATAATGTCTACTAAAGTAATTACTTCGTCTTGCACGAAATCATGTTTGAGTATCATTAAAAGCGAATAGCTTGTAAAAAAATACGATGTAATAAACACGAGATTGAACGTAAAACTTTTCTTTATGAACCACTACAGATTTCTTGTATTTTTTGGGGTTGTTAGTGATTCTCTGGAATCTCAGCTTTCTTGTGAGATCTTAAATTACTTTAGGCCTTTTCTAGGTTCTCTCTAAGATTGTTTTAGGTTCTTCAAGATTGTTCTCCATTTCCTAGGGTTCCCCTAGATTTCTTTTGGAATCTGCTAGTCATCTAGTTTTTCTATAGATCTCTAGTTTTTTGGAGGTCTCCCTAGGTACATCTTAGCTTTTGGACTCTCTGGAGTTATTTTGGGTTCTAAAGTTCTTTATAAATTTCTGACAAGTTTTTTTGGAATATATTTACAATATAATTTTGTAGATTTAAAATTGCAAATTTCAGAAGGATGAAGTCCCAAAATTTGTAACTTATCTAAAATTTCCAAAATTCCAAAAAATTCCTAAGTTTCCAAAAGTTCAAAAATCCCAAACTTCCAAAATCCCAAAATTTCAGAATTCAGAGCTTTAAAAATACCAAATTTTCAGTGTCCCACATTTCCAAAATTTCAGAATTCAAAAATTCCAAAATTTCAGAGTTCCAATGTTTCAAAGGTTCAAAATTCAAAAAATTCCATCATTTCAAAATTTGGAAATCTCAAAATTCCAAATTTTCAAAATCCCAAAATTTCAGAATTCAAGGCTTCAAAAATACCAAATTTGCAATGTTTTAAAATTCCAAAATCCCAAAATCCCAAAATTTGAAAATCTCAAAATCCCAAAATTCTAAAATCTCAAAATTCTAAAATTCCAAAATCTCAAAACTACAAAACCCAAAAATTTGAAAACCCCAAAACCCTAAATTTCCAAAATTTCCAAAATTGTACCACCCCAAAATTCCAAAATTCTCGAACTAAAAGAATTCACCCCATCACCCTAAACCCATCTAATCCAGTGGTTCCCAGACTCCTCAAGTATTCGTCAGAGTTCGGTAACCCGAATTTCCTTCGGAGGGTCTTCGAATCTCGCCCAGTGAAATTTCCATTTTCGCGGTGCGACGTAGCCGTTGAACTTGATCCAATTTCTGGTCAGCATTTCTTGGCACACCCTGTGAACACGGTGCGTTGATCGGCCGGCCCGTGGCACGCATGCCCGGTTACCTCTGTCCGGAAGCTTCGCCACCGTGGAGAAAGCGATGCTTTCGAAAAAGAGCCTCCCACTTTCGGTCGAGCAGTCTTCGACCGATCCCCGCGGAGAAAGGTCGCGGTTATCGCGCTCTTGGTCCCGCGGACACGTTCGTTGTATTATGCTGGTCAATTTCTGTTATTCACCTGTTACCAGCCTTCGCACCCTCGATTTATCGCCGTTCTCGATTCTTGTGCGGTCCTCGATGTTCTTCTCGCACGGACGATCGCGCGTCGTTAGATATGCGGCTCGTTCAACCCGGTTCCAGTCGGTTCACTGGTTTGTTTGAGTTCATCGTACGGTTTTCACCATGATCCTCCTTCGGATGTTTGCCGAACCAGGACGAGATATTATGGTGCTGTGAAGGCTGATCGGTGGCCTCGTTCGAGATAATCTTCAGGTGGTACGTGTCACTGCTCCTATGCTTTTGTTGTTTTTTAACATTCAAGCTTTCATGGACTGTTTGAAGCTTTTTTCGCGGCAGAATAACTGTTACGGGGGTCCATGAATGGGGTTGATTGTCCGGCAGATTTGATTTAGTACGGTGAAAACAGTCGGGGGTTCCAGTTTGTATTTGGGATAGTGCTTCACTCAGAATTTTGGATATTTGGGTCAGATCGAATGGGAAAGTTGATATTTTGCGAAAGCTTCAATCAACTTCACCCTTTGAACCTCGCTTGCTTAAATTTAAAAGGGAGGACCTTTTTTTAAATCAATTTTTATTTCAATATTTTTTGCTTCAATTAAATCTAAGGGTTCGAATATTAGCGAATTTTTTTAATATTTTAGGGGTGAAATTTTGTGAAATTTGGCTTTGGTGAAATTTTATAAAATTTGCCTTTGGTGAAATTTTGATCATCAGTTAATTTTTTATAAACTTCATCTGCTTAGTTAATTTTTCAGAATAAATGATTAATTAAAAAAAAATTGAGTTTTGTATAATTTAGGTAATAATTTAAATTCTTGAGATTCCATAAAAAGTTGTGAACTTAATATTTTAATTTTTATTTGATAATTTAAATTGTAGATGTGTAAGTTTTTTTTTTATGAATTTTATCGATAGGGGTTGTATAATTTATTCCTTAATGAGATTTAAATTCTGTGAAATTCTGGTAAAGTTTTAAGAGATTTATTTGGTAATTTAAATGTTCTTTCTTTAATAAATATTAGTGAATAATTACAAAATGGGGTTGCATGGTAATTAGGTGATGGGGCTAATTCAATTCTGTAAAATTAAGCTAAAAGCTTCTGTAATTTTATTAAAATTTGATTACTTAGCACAATGTACCTACACTAAAATTATTGGTACATAAGGTGAAATTTTGTAGAATCAACATCCCTGTAATTTTTGTTAGAAATTTCTTACAAGCTTTAGTTTTGGGAATTTGAGAATTCTTAAATTTACATATTTGTGAATTTTTATATTTCACAATTGTTAATTTCCCACTTGCTAATTTCCCAAATTCTAAAATTTTCATATTTGCAAGTTTCTATATTTCTCACTTTCTGATTTCCCAAATTCTCAAGTTTCTAAATTCTCAAATTTGCAAATTTCTACATTTCCAACTTCCTAATTTCCCACTCCCTAATTTCTCAAATTTTCAATTTCCCCAATTATCCAAATTTCCAAATTTTCACACTTGCAAATTTCTACATTTTCCACTTCCTAATTTCCCAAATTTTTAGATCTTTTAATTTCTACATTTTCAACTTCTTAATTTCCCGCTTCCTAATTTCCCCAATTACTCAAATTCTTCAAATTCTCACATTTGCAAATTTCTATATTTTCCACTTTCTAATTTCCCAAATTCTAAGATTTGCAACTTCCTAATTTCCTACTCCCTAATCTTCCACTTTCTAATTTCCCACCTCCTTATTCCCCAATTACTCAGATTCCCAAATTCTCACATTTGCAAATTTCTACATTTCTCATCCTCTAATTTCCCAATTACTCAAATTCCCAAATTCTCATATTTGCAAATTTCTACATTTCTCATTCTCTAATTTCCCAAATTCTAAAATTTCCAAATTCTCACATTTGCAGCTTTTTACATTTCCAACTTCTCAATTTCCCACTTCCTAATTTCCCACTCCCTCATTCCCCAATTGCTCAAATTCCCAAATTCTCACATTTGCAAATTTCTACACTCCCAAATTCCTAATTTCCTAAATTCTCACATTTCCAACTTCCTAACTTCCTACTCCCTAATTTCCCACTTCCTAATTTCCCAAATTCTCAAATTCCCGAATTTCTATTCCAGATTTGCTACAAGTTTTACAATTTGTATTCAAATTGTGAAATATTGCAATTTGGTAATGACTTAAAATTCAAAACCGAAAGTCCAACTTAACCAAAATTAATTTGCAATATTTATTCAAATCTTATAACTCTCTTTAGAGCCATATGACTCACACTACCCTTAAATCACAAAATAGTGCAAATGCATATAAAAATATTATACAAGTTATATAACAAATTTTATACAAATTATACAAGTTTTAATTTTTTTATTTATCCACAAAAATAGAATTGATGAAAAATTCAACAGAAAAGTGAAAGTGAACACGATAGAAAAATTCCAACATAATTTCACAAAAATATAGATTAGATACCTCCCTTAAAATCGATGATGAAAATAACGGAGAAAGTTATTGGATTTCTGTATAATCTGGATGAAAATTTATCCGGATGACGCCCAACCCTTTTTACGTCGGTTAAGGGGTCACCCATTGCATAAAAATAGTGTGCTTCAGACGAGTAGCAACTTCGTTATTTTCTCGTAGCCTCAGCTTTAATATATTCGTGATTATCTGATGTAATATTTAGGTACGAATTAAAAAGAGGACCAGCCCTCTAGAGAAAACGGTTACACGAAAAGAATCTTTAAAATTAATTACTTCTGTAATTTCAATTTAACTCGTTTCAGTTCTCGGTAAATGATGCAAAAGTAATACAAATTTCATTGAAAATTAAGTTCACCTAAATCCTCGTAATTTAATTAATCGAACATTCGTTTAATTTATTCTGTATTTAAGTTACATTTTAAAAATTATATTTTTATCAATGCTAAATTTAAAAAAAAAAAAAAAACATCCAGTAAAAAATTTTTATATGAACATTTTATTGCACAGGTTTTTCTATTTAAGAAAAATATGTTTTTTATACAAAAAAGAAAAAGGGAAATGACTTATGTTGATCATAGAAGCTTTCTTTTTTTAACAACGA